TCTCTCTCTCTCTCTCTCTCTCTCTCTCTAACACTCTCTTACGAGTATATTACTATAGTGGCAAACTAGTAAGATGACGTGCTGCTAATAACAGACCTAGATAAGGCCAGACCTATCTAAAACGACCACCTACTGTCGAGAAAAAAACAAATAATAATCTTTGACAGGTGGACCTCTGGGACAGTGTCCTTCCATATAAAATCAATAGAAAGAAAAAAGAAGAAGTGGGAGGGGGGAGGGGGGAAAATGGAAGTTTGTTCAGGTGATGGTCTTGGGCAGGTGCTACGTAAAACTAGTTCAACTGTATTGAATCATACACCAGACCAAAAGCAGGAGAAACGGTGTCTTTTATATCTTTACAGTCGGTACACCTACTGGCTATATGCTGCGTTATTGTTTTGTTTTTATTGTTTTCTTTATGTATCATACAAATCTGCTCGCCTGCACTGAAACTATATCCTCACATTTGTATCATTATTCAGATCTTTTCCTACAATTATTGTAGGTAATACACGTATTATTAAATTGCTGGTAGCTTAAACGCTAATACATGTATTTGTTTTCATAAAAATACTATCATATGTGAGGCAGCGCGGTGGAATCAGGCTCTCGTCAAAATAATTAAAGTGAAGAAACTTGCATTTTTCTGCAGGTTTGTGAATTTTTATCAAAATTTTTCTTTTTTGCCTCAACACCTTTCATGCCCATTAAAAAGCTCATTTTTGTGTCGATTTTTCTGAAAAACGTTGAATAAAGGCACAAAAAAGTAAATTTTCAGTGACCACGGACTCTCAAGCTAGGAAATAACTAAACTTTGGCAGCCATTTTCTCACTAATTTTACCTCTGAAAACAAGTGACCCCCACCTTCTTCTTTCGCAAATATCTCGACTTGTGTTCAAGATAAATGGATATTTTTCCATCCAAATAAAGACAAGTGAACAAGCTTTAAGATATGCTCAAAAATTGACGAGAGCCTGATTCCACCATGCTGCCTCACATATTCATAATGCCTCAAACAATTCTCACTGCGACAGAGCAGGAAATAGGCTTACGACTTCTTCTTCTTCTTTTTCTATCCCGTGGTTGGGGCAACCGTGGGGGCACCACTGCATCTGACCACCGGCTCTCGCCATTTCTCTTTGTTCTCTGCTCTCCTCAGATTGTCACCCATCGTCTTTCCTGTCCACTCTGTAATGTTGTCCTACCATCTCCTTCTCTGCCTTCCTCTCTTTCTCTTTCCTTGTACCGTTCCTTGTAGAATTGTTTTGGCAAGTCCTAGGCTTACGACTAGTGAGAGTTAAATTGAATTGTCTGTTTGTGTTCTTCAGGCCCTAGAAATGATCGAAGGTTTACAGCACTCTTTCAATGAGCTGGTGGACGACTTAGACTGGATGGATAAGGAGACCAAGAGAGTCGCTCGGATCAAGGTATACAATACCACAATCATCTGGTTTTGTTGTTGTTGTTGTTGTTGTTGTGATTGTTGTTGTTGCTGTTATCGTTATTATTATTTTGTTATTATCATTATTATTATTATTTATCATCATCTTCCTCCTCCTCC